CTAGCCCTCCCGTCCACAACCCTCCACTAATCACTGGAGAAACGAAGGCCCAAAGAAAGAAAGGAACTTGCCCAAGGTCACAGAGACAGTCAGCCCCATTCTCCCCTCCCAACCTGCACTTCTCTCCCCTGAGCTGCCTCCCACATGTCAGTGACATCCAGTGGGTGGGTCGACAGCACCTTGCTGTCACTCCATCCATTCCCCAGATGCCTGAATGGTGGCTGCCTACCTGGTATGCTCTACAGCCTCAGTTTAGTTTAGGCAACAATGGGTCAGCAGTCGTCTATACTTGGACCCATTCCCCCACAGGGTCAGTTTAGGCTAAAAGCATCCCCATGCCAGTCCAGACACCCTGGACCAGGTTCCACATGGAATGGATGCCAAACTTAACCTGGGTGACCTTCTCCAAGCGCCTTAGTCTCGCTGTTTCTCGGATTCCTTCTGTAAAATGGGTCCACTGGCTTCCACAGCCTGTGCCCTTATCCACAATAATCGCCTGATTTCCCCAGAGCTAGAAAACTTCCAATTACCCACTGCCCACATGTCAGGCACTGCGGGCGAGACCCAGGCCGTCAGACCCCTCTAGGAATGGTCTTGGAGCCTGGAATCGCAGAGTCAAGAACCTAGGGCTCCTGGGAACAAGCCTGCGCCCCACCGCGCCACGATCTCCCCGGGCGGAATGAAGAGGCTAGTGGGAGTCCGGCACGAGCGTGCAGGGGACCGGGCGCGCAACAGGGCCCCGTTCCCGCCACTGTCCGGCCTCCCGGGCTGCCCGGCCCCGCCTGGGCCCGATATTCAAGGTCCCTCTAGCCAAGGAGCCCCCAATGCACCAGATTCTGCGAAGAGAGGCAGGACACGCCCCGTGGGAGGCCCCCCGGCTGGGGAAGAGCCCCCTCAGGCCCCTCTCGGCCTCCGTACCTGACCGGAGCCGCCTCCCCCGGCCGCCACTACGGCGCTGCCGGCCCCGTCCGCCTCCTGCGCCGCCGCCATCTTCCCGCTCCGGGTCCCCGCCCCCGCCGCCAGCCCCGCCCCGTCCCCGACGGCACCAGCTCAATCGCGCGAGATTTCACAATTTGCCCGACCCAATGGGCCACCGTATCCGCCAAGAGCGCCGCAGCCACGCCTTCCCAAAGTTCCACTTCCGGCTATGAAAGGACCAAACTAGCCACCGTACTTCGCCTCTCCCCACTCTCTGCCCTGCAGCTTGTTTGTTTTCACCTGGAGTAAACACTGAATGCACCGAAGTTCCAGGACTTTTGGAACAACGTGTTCACTTTCCAAAAATTCTGTTCATTCTGTCTCTCGAGTTAACCCGCCTTTTCGATTTGTATGAGCTTTCCACGCCCTCCTGCCCGCTTCGGTCCGCCGTTTCTGTTTTTCATTCCAAGGTTCTTGAACTTTTCCGGCCACCGTAACGTTTCAAAACATCCCGCCCGAACCACGCCCCTCCTGCTTTAAAGGAACCTCTCTGGCCACCGTAGTGGGACTCAAAGGAGAAGGCCCTTCGGTGGGTGTTTTCGCGTCCTGACACCTTTCCTCCTTCAAGTCCCCAGAGATTATAGTCTCCCCGTGCGTTCAGAGTTCCTATTTCAGGATTCTTACGGCCACAAAAACCTCGGAGTGGGACCCTGTCAGCCCCTCCCTGGGCTTTGGGCAGCCGTACTTTCAGTGCGCATGTTCGTTCCCCTAGTGGCCTTCGCTGTCTGGCAGACCTCGCCATCCTGAACTCAGCTTCGTGGGCTTTGAGAACGCCATCATGTTTCATTAGCTGTGTGTCTTCCTACAGCGCCAAGGCGGGCACGTGCTGAGGGTGACCTCAGAAAGGGCGTCATGGAGGCCTAGGGAGGACGTAGACCTCTCAGACTGTTGAACCTCCACCAGTGCGTTGGGGGGACCTCTCACCTGCATCCACCCTGGTCGTGCTACCGACCGACTAAATGATCCCAGAAAAGTGACATGTATTTGAGCCTCAGTATCTTACCCCCTATAAACTAGATGCTTTTGTTGTATTTGAGATGGGGCCTTTGTAAACTGCTGAGGCTGGCCTTCAACTTAAGATCCTCCTGCCTCAGCCTACTGAATTGCTGGAATTACAAATATGCACCACCATAACTAGTTTAAACTAGAGGTCATAATAGAAGCTTCTCTTCTCTACAGGGCCAGGCACCCTCTCCCCAGCCTCTCTAGTCCCCTCAGCTTCCCCACCCCTGTTCACTTTTTGTAATCACTGCCAGGAATGGGTGTGTCCCCCTCATTGAGCAGGCAGACCCAGGACCCTGGTGGCCGCTCCTGAAACTCCAGCACTGCCCTGGGGATGATTGGACGAGGCTCTTTGAATGCACAAGGTGATTTGAGGGCCTATGCAAGGAAGAGAATGAAACCTGTAGCTCCTTGCTTCAGTGGGTGTGATGGCCCATGCTTGTAACCCTAGCGAAGCAGAAGGTGGAGGCAGGAGTATCACAAGTTTGAGGCCAACCTCAGCAATGTAGAGAGACCCTCTCTCAAAATTTCAAAAAGGGCTGGGTGTGCTGGCTTATGCCTATAATCAGGAATCTGAGGCAGGAGGATTGCAAGTTCAAAGCCAGCCTCAGCAATTTAGGGAGGCTGTAATCAACCTAGTGAGACCCTGTCTTAATAAAAAAGAAGACTAGGGATGTGGCTCAGTAGTTAAGCAACTCTGAATTCAATCCTGGCACCAAAAAAATAATGATACTAATAATACTCATAATAATTTCAAAAGGATTAGGGAGGTAGCTCCCAACTCTAGTTATAAAATGCCACAATATGCCCTCCAAGCCTCATACACTGCAGGTCCTGATCCAATAGAGCATGAGAATCTCTCAATTTTGTGACATTGCACAGGGCCCTTCAGAACCAGAGCTCTTGCTCCTTGTCTGTTGAGTAACCAAATAAATCCCATTCAGTTAAGAAGAATGGGCCTTCTCTGCCCTCCACTAGGGGGAGCCCAACACTGGCCAGGGTTTATGATTTCAGGTTTCAAGGGGGAAGGGGGCTGGGGACCTGAACTGCTAGGCTCTAAGGAGAAGGGATTCAGGGTCCAGACTTCCAAGTCTCAGGAAGGAGGAGTCTATCCTTCAGTGTGCTGAGTTCTTGGGAGGAGGACTCTGGGGTCCTGAAGGGAGTCGGGGTCTGAGAAAGGCAGGAGGAGTCTGGGAATGGCATCCGGATTGGTTGGAAGCAAAGCTGGCTTGGACAGTGGTTTGGTTTGGCTCGAGTCTGTGGGAAACAAGTGGACAGAGCAGGGATTGTTCCCCCCCAGGGTTTCCCCCTCCCCACCACCCCCTGGTCTTGGCAGCCTCAGTTCTTCCCAGACCTGGGGACTTGGGGACATTGCCCACAGCCCCTCCCAAGGCCTCTGTTTTCTACTGGCTGCCCAGCCTCAGAACCTGGGAAAACTGCCCCAAGATCGTTGAAAGACTGGCTGGAGGGTAATGCCAAGCAGATTAGGAGAAATCCAGGCCATGGATCCCCAGGGACCCACAGCCCCACCCCTGAGACTTATGGGAGCATCCTCTGCTCCCTCAGCGCCCCCTCCATCATCCACCCTTGGGCCCAGCACCGGCCTCCCTCAGCCCATGGAGCCCCACACTTGTCCTTCACCCTGTGCTTTTTGCTTGCAATTTCCTGCTGCTAGATGCTCCCTCCCAGCCTCTAACCACCCCACCTGGACCCTGGGGGCCCAATCAGCACCTACTCCTCTCCCCCATTTTCCAGCAACAACAGTCCTACCCAGAATGCATTGCACTGTGTCCCCTTGACTAGCTCCAGCCTGGTCATCCTGTCTTCAATAGAGCCTGGGCCCTACTTCTGCCTGCTTAGAACAGCCACATCCAAGGTCTGGGGGTCTCTTCCACTCAGTCTTCCTTGGAGTCCATGCTGCTGTCTGAAATGATCTCCACTTGTCTTCTTGCTCCCTGAGGCAGGGGTCTAGCTGTAGCCTCAGGGTGGAGTGGAGCTCCTGGCTCTGAGGAGCTTAGGAAGTGTTATTACTAACAAGGAGAGAACAGCCCACAGAACATACTATAAAACCAGAATCGCTAAAACTGCCTGCAGCTGCAACAGTCCCTGATCAGTGGCTTGTTTATTTTTATTTTTTAAAATGTGCTGGGGATTAAATCCAGGGCCTCAAATGTGTTAGGCAAGCAGTCCACCTCTGAGCTACAGCCTCCATCAGTGGCTTTTATTGGTACCAGGGGTTGACCTCAGGGGTGCTTAGCCACTGAGCCACATCCCTAGCCCTTTTTTGTATTTTATTTAGAGACAGGGTCTCGCTAAACTACTAAGGGCCTCCCTAAATTGCTGAGGCTGGCTTTGAACTCTTGATCCTCCCACTCTGCTGGGATTACAGGTGGGCACTCTCGGTGGCTTTTTGAGAAGCCCTTTGAGGGCAGGACTACCTCTATGTCCTCAGGGCTTGGTGCCAAGCTCCAGGAAATCAGGTGAGGTGAATGCATTGGATTGTCAAAGCATCTGGGCTTCAGAGGTCTGACTTCCTGTGTCCCCTCCAAACTGTGAACTAACTTCATAAGCTTAGCAGGGACTCGTGGGTGCCCACCTTCCTGCCTCGGATACTCCCTGAGATGTCACATCTAAACTGTCGTCTCAGGGTCCTGGTGGAGCTCGATGCTGGAGCGTCTGCCTGGCATGCCTGAGGCCCTGGGCTCAGTCCTTACACCCCCAACAACAACAACAACAACAACAAAAAGTGAAGAAAATACAAAGTGTCAGCACAGGGGTTCTGTGCTGTCAGAGGTCACTATAGGTTATCTTTGTCCATGATTTGTCATTTTACCCACGGGAACATCAGACCTTAGTCAAGAGCAGTGACTCATTGTTATGATCACTTCTTGTTTTTATTTTCCTCTTCATTCCCAGGACCAGGTTCCAGATTATGGCCACACACAAACAATACCTGCTGACTAAATGTTGTTTGGACTCAGTCTCTATGTTGGTCCCTGAGCCCCAGAAAAGCCACCACATCAAAGAGAATAAATATTTATTATTTATTTTTTCACTCACTGGTGAGAGTTCAGGCCAGAGTAGGGGAGGGCTGAGAGCAGCTGGCGTGGAGGAGCCCCGTCTGATTCCCAGGAAGGTCAGGAGAACCAGGGGGTTCTGGGGCCTGGGCTCCCCACCCACCACCGGGGTTGACACTACTCTCCCTTCAGCAGAGTGAGGAGCTGGTCAGTGAAGATGCCTGCGTAGGTGCTCATGGCTGCCGAGCCCTTGCTGTACAAGTCCCTGGGGAGAAAGGGCTGAGGATCAGAGACAGGAGGGCTGGGCCTGGACCCCCGGGTCTGAAGGAGGAGGCTGGTCCTGAACCCCTGGGTCTAAGGGAGGAGGGCTGGGTGGGTCTGAGGGAGGAGGCTGGGCCTGGACTCCCAGGTTCTTGCTGTGGTTGATATCAGGGGCCAGCTCTTTCTCTCCCAGGGGAGACGACACCTGATTTTCTCGTCCATGTCGTTGAGGTATGTCTTCTCGTACAGGCCCTGGGCAGCTGCCTTGGCAGAGCCCCAGTAGCTGGAGAGCGACTCCTTCACCTGGGCCAGCAGAGGCGGGCTGGCAGGCTCATCTTGCGGAAGCCCCTGGATCTCTGCAGGGGCGGAGAGGGCAAGGCTTAGGGGAGCTGAAACAAGCCAGCAGAGGAGAGGGGGCGGCCCAGGTTGGGTGAGAAGATGCTCCCAGCTCCCCCTCCTCGGAGAGGCCCCTTGCAGGCCACTCACCACAGCTCAGCACCAGGAGGAGCAGGCACAGAGCCAGGAGGAATCGCGTGCCCATGGCGTCGAGGGACCTGGAAGACTGAGGGGTGTTGAGCAGCAGGGTCACTGGGCTGGTCACTGGGGCCCACCCCCTCTGAGGCAGGGGTCTGGGATTGTGCTCCTGGTTCCTCCTGCTTGACTTGAGGTCACATTGACAGGACAAGGGGTCTATGTTGGACCTCTGTTCTAACTGCCCTGATTTTAACAGTTCACGCCCGGTGGGCTTTGTGTGTGTGGGGCTGGGGATGGAGCCCAGGCCCTGTGCATGCTGGGCAAGCCCCTGCCACAGTGCACCCCAGCCCTGTCCTGTCAACTCCAGGCAAGTCCACTCAGTCCCTGGAGAAGCCTCCTTGAGGTCCAGCAGAGCACAGAGGACATGTCTCTCCACGGGGCTCCCTAATCCTTGTCCCAGTCCACACTGGAAGGAGCTCTGGGCTAACTACTAACTGCACAAAGTCACCCTCTCACTTTGAAGAAACTACAGTAGAAACAGGTCCAGATGGAACCAGGAGGCTCAGGGGGAGACACACGGGGATTCCGCATTCCGTGGTGCCATCGTGAGCATCGTGGCCACTCTAGCAATTTCCAATTTAACCATGTCGCCCCCTCCCCTCCCCACCCTGCCCCCGCAGCAGGCCCTCTCTTACCAGGCTCTGGCTCTGCCTTCTGTCCTCACCAGCTCCCGACAGGCACCCAGGCTTTATACCCTGGAGGCCCACCTCCCTCCACGGCTGCCACCTCCTCAGCCTGGGCCAAAGTCCTGGCCAACAGAGCCACCGAGGCGGGGCGGGGGGCAGGAAGGGCAAGAAGGACAGTGACGTCCGTCCGCTGCCAGGTCAAACCTCAGATAACCCCGACTGATAATTCCCCTCTGACCCAGGGGGCGGTGGGAGCTGCAGAGGGGCTGGGCACCCACCAGGAATGGGGCCTGGGGCCGGAGTCTGCTGGGAAACAAGGGCAGAGCTCTGAGGGCCCACCCTGGGGACCCGCTCACCCTCCCCGGTCCCCAGAAACGCAGGCGCCTTGAAGTCCCCCAACCCGGTTCGCCCCCAGCCCCTTCCCCCAGCACCCCCACCCCCCAGGGTCTCCCCCCTGCCCGGTGTGGCCTCTTCCACCCATAATTCCTGGGCATGGGTGGAGAGGGTTATCTCCAGCTTCACAAAGGAGGGGACTGGACAGGGACACAGATAAGGAGGTCTTTATTGGGGCTGGGGGGGTGGGCAGGCTAATCCTGGGCCCGGTCCCTGCAGAGCAGCTGGGGACACAGGCTCTGGGCCTTGTTCAGGAGGCTGTCCTTGGAGCTGAGGAGCCAGGCCTGGGTGCGGGGACCCAGGTCTTTCAGGTGGTCATCATAGTAGGTCTGCATGAAGCCCTGGAGGGCCCCAGGGCGCCTGCAGGAAGGGGACACCACAGTTGAGACCCCAAGCCCCTCCGAAGGCCCTGCCCTGGCCCCCTCTCCCTCTGACCCAGGGTCCCCGCTCTGCCCTCTCACCTTCCACTGCCCTCAGTCCCATGGCAGCCCCAGGCCCCTCCGCTCCCCGGAGAGCTAGAGTCCAGGGTGAGGCCCCAGCCTCCTCCCTCAGCCCCGGGGCCCAGCCTGCTCTCCCCCCAGCCTAAAGCCGGCGCAGGCTCACCAGAACCACTGCCACCTCTCTCTGGTCCTGGTCACCAGCGGCTCCACCAGCTCCTTCAGCCTGCCCGGCACCAGGCTCCAGCGGCTCTTCTCGGGGCCTGGCTCAAGTCTCGGGGTCCCTGTGGGCACACATGCTGGGGGGGACCAGAGAGCAGCTCGAGTTGCTGGGACCCCAGAACCCCACTCCTCCGTCTCTCCCCGAGCTCACCCCCTGTCACTCCGGGGGCCTGGGCTGTCTCCTGCTCCCCCCTAGGCCCTCTGACCTCTAGTCCCCTTCCACCGTTGGTCCTCCCCTCTCCCTGTACCCCAGAGCTGTCCCTTGCCCTGTGTGGTCTTCCCCCTCCGTCTGTCTCCACCTCGCCGTGCCTCCTCTAGCCACCTGATCTGCTGTCTGGGACAGCCCCAGCCCCCCGCGTTCCCCTTGGCCCCTGCACAGGGTCCGAGCCACCACCACACAGCACACAGCGGAGGGAGAACACACACAGGATGGCTGTTGGCATGGCCACGCTGTCAGCCCCTCCTCATGGCCAGATGTCCCACCATGGGTCACAGTTTGCTTCCTTGCACACACCTGTGGGTGCAGCACCCACACACAGGTGCAGACGCCACCCACAAGCCCACCTGTGACACAGGCCCACCACACACACTTGTCCAGAGGCACCAGGTGACCTGCATGGCTTCTGCTCATGACATAACTGCTCTAAGACTCAGTTTTCCCTTCTGTAGAATGGGGGACTCATACACCTGCCTCTGAAAGCAACCCGAGGTAACACAGTGCACAAAGGACAGTGCCTTGGACACACAGAGGCACTGTATCCATGTGAGAGAAATCCATGTGCAAAACACGCCCAACACCCGCACGCTCACAGAAACCCTCACACATGGCCTCTCACTCCAATTTCCTGTGTTTTTTTTGATCCTGGGGAGTGAACCCAGAGGCACTTAACCACTGAGCCACATCCCCAGCCCTTTTTATTTTTAATTTTGAGACACAGTCTCATTGAGTTGCTTAGGGCTTCACTGAGTTGCTGAGGCTGGCTTCAAACTTTCAATCCTCCTGCCTCAGCCTCCCTGGCTACTGAGATTCCAGACATACACCATCGTGCCCAGCTTAATCTTTCACACACATAGACCCAGTACACACAAGCACATTCTCTGGCATGCACATTTGCCACAACTGCACACACATCTGCTTATCACATGCAAATGACCACTGTGATTTGTACCAACCCCACGTTTACACTTCACACCAGCCCCTGACACGTATAACCCCAGTCACACACGTGCGCTGACACACAGCATCGGGCACCAAGGGCCGCACGCATGTCTACCAGCCCACATGAGACCCCGTTCCTCACCCGCAACCCAGGCCAGGACCAGCAGGCAGAAGCAGAGGGAGGGCAGGGCCCGGGCCCGGTCTCCCAGGAGCGGCATTTCTGGGGGTTCCGTCTCTCAGCCCCTCTGTGCTCAGCTCTCCAGATCTGGGGAGGGGCCGGCTGCACCAGCAGAGCCCTCCCACAGCCACCTCCCCACAGGCCTTGGCAGGGACTTCAGAGAGAAGGGCCCAGGTGACAGTGACAATCAGAGGCCATGCCCGCCCACGCTGGCCTCTCTCCTCCCACCCCCCTTAAGGGAGAGACCAGCAGTGTGGGTGCTCATGGACGGTGGCTGTGATTATTTACTTTGTCTCTCCAGGGCCAGAGTTGGATGGCTGGACAGCGGTACAGTCCCAGGTCCCCGACCTGTGTTTCTTCCCCATTCACCTCCTGCCATCCCTGGGATCCTGAACATTCTAGCTCTTTCTTCTTGGCTGGCTCTGCTGACAGCCCTGGGCCTCCAAGCCTGCCTCCCTCACTGCACAGCCAGGCAGAGACGATCCCTTCTCTGGGTCTCAGTGTTTCCTTGTGTAAAATGGGAGGGTGACGAGCACCTGCCCCCCAGGTCCCTGTGAAGGCTGAGCAGGGCCCATGCAGGAAGGTCCAGCTGCAGAGGAGCAGGCCTGGAGGGCCGCAGCAGGCACAGACCTGGTGTGAGGTGGGGAGAGAGCACCCAGCCACACCCCAGGGCTCACGGTTTGGCCAGGGATCATGGGATGCCTTGGTCTAGGGTTGCAGATCAAGTACCAGACACCCAGGTGCATGTGAATTCCAGTTCAACAATGATTTCTTTCATTTTTTTTAAGACAGATTTTTTTTTTTTTTAATTTAAAGATGGGGTCTCACTATGTTGCTCACGTTGACCTTCAACTCCTGGACTTGAGTGACCCTTCTGCCTCAGCCTCCTGAGTAGCTGGGACTACAGGCCTGTGCCACTCTGCCTAGCATCATGAATACTAAGTGAAAAGAAAAAAAATTCATTCTGGGGATTGAACTCAGGGCACCTTACGATGGAACTCCATCCCCAGCCCTTTTTATTTTCAACCAGGCTCAGTATTACTAAGTGGCCCAGGCTGGCCTTGAACTTGGGATCTGCCCACCTCAGTCTCACAGGTTGCTGGGCTGACAGGCATGCTCTGTTTGTAAGTGGCAATTCTGAGAAGCTAACCTTGGTTGTAACCTGAACAACTGTACAGGATGGTCCTGACCTGGAGCCTCCGGGAGAATTTGGACCTCCCCATGGTAGGTGCTGAACACACAGTCCCTGGAGGTTATTGCTAACAAGAACCAACAAGAGAAGACTACCAAGGGCCTGGGGCTGGGGCTCAGTGGTAGAGCACTTGCCTGGCATGTGTGAGGCACTGGGTTCGATCCTCAGCACCATATAAAAATAAATAAAGGTATAAAAAGTCTGATTTTTTAAAATATATTTTACCCATTTTTATACATTTAAAAATACATTTAAAAAAAAAAAAAGATAAGACTACCCAGAGTTGCTGTTTGGGATGATGAGGAAGTTCTGGAAATAGTACGGATGGTTGTGCAACCACCTGAATGTACTTGGTGCACTATATACACCGAAAAATGGCTGAAGTAGGAAAATGTGTGTCATGTGAATTGCGACCCAACAGAGAAACAAAAACCCAAATAAAAATAAACCCACTGTGCCTTTTTGGGTGTTCAGAGTTAACTCCATTTCTTCCCAGCAGTGTGACCTGATGCAGGTCACCTGACCTCTCTGGGCCTGTTCCCCTGCCCCCACCATCCTGGCCTGGGAGTCAAAGGCTGCCACCTCACAGGCTCACAGGAGCAGGAGCAGAAAAGAAATCAGGAGATGGAGCACGTGGAGTGCCCAGGGGAGGTGCTTGGTGATCACCTGCTGCTCTCTATTTAGAATTTAGAATATGTGCCCCGAGCACTTGCTGTGCAACAGGCAGAGCGTGGTCACAGGGGCAGAGGTCACCAGGGCCCTGGGAGGTGGCATTGTTGATATCCCACGCTTTTGGAGGGCTAGTACTGGGGACTGAGCCCAGGGGTGCTTCCCGGCTGAGCCACATCAGGCCCCTTTTAGTTTTTATTTTGAGACAGCATCTTGCTAAGTGGCTGAGGCCGGCCTCGAAATCAAGATCCTCCTCCTCAACCTCCTGAGCCCCTGAGATCACAGGCCCGGAATCCCCTTTTGGCAGATGAGGAAACCGAGGCTGCGGGCGTGGGTGTCCATCTGCCCGGGGCCTCACTCTCCACCGGGCTGAGCAGGGATTCCCTCCGCCCCTCCCACCCGGAGAGGCCTGTCCCCTGCCCCAGCTCCAAGGCCGGTGTGCAGGGAGGGCAGTGGGCTGTTTGTTGTTTGCTGTCCCCAATGTTTGCTCATCTTAGTGACGGGGTCAGGCCGAAGGTCATTCACTGTGGACTTCGGAGGCAACTGAAAAACACCTGTGGGGGCGGGGGACGGGGAGGGACTAGGATTGGTGGCGATGGACCCTGAGACCCCGGACACGGGACCCGTCTGAGGGCAGACAGCATCTCTGGACCTGCGACTGTGCTCTCCAGGCCATCAGGCCTGGCCACGTCGTCCCCAGTCACTCTCCTCTCCCCTTGACGGCAGGGTCCTCGCCCCAGTCAAGACCCCTCCCCTCCCCCAATCCCTAGACACCCTCCGGCTCATCTTCACCCTCTCTGCCCCTTCACCCTGCTGCCTGCGCTGTCCGGGGAGGGAATCTGGGTAGAAAGGGGTATGAGATGTCCCGGTCTCTGCCTTCCCTCTGGGAAGCCGCCATCCACTCATTCCTGATGGAAACCGAGAGGCCATTCCCGCTCCATCAGCTTCACCCTGTAAGGGGCTGGGCTGGGGCTCAGCGGGGGAGGCTGGCCTAGCTCCTAGCAGGGCCAGGGCTGGATCCTCAGCACCACGTACAAAAGGATAAACAAAAAAAGGTATTTGTCCATCTACAGCTAAAAAAATACTAAAAAAAAAACACAACAAAAAGATCCCCCTCTAAGCTGGTGCAGTGCGCACGTCGGTGACCCCAAGGCCTCCGGGAGCAGGCAGAGGGCCAGTGCACAGCCAGCCCCGGGAGCCAGGGAGGAAATCTGAAGGGTCGAAGATAGGAAGCCAGATGTGAAGTTAGGTAGTTAGTGTGGTTAGGGAAATCGGGTCTCAGGTGAGTGAGATGAAGAAAACGGGGGCCATTAGGAAAATGGAGTCCAGGCAACCAGAAGTGCCCTTGGGGAATTTGAATGGTTATTTTCCCCAGGGCCTTGGCCCAACCTAAGGAACTGTTAATGGAGCAGCTTGCACCAAACAGCACGGTGCTAATCAGACCCCCCAGGCCCTTCCTGCCTGCTCCCTCCTCCCTGCCTCTCGGTCCCCCTTCTCCCACCTTCTGGCCTTCCCACCTGCGCTCTATCCCAGCAGGACAGAGGGAGACCAAGGACCGGAGTGTGGGACGCTAAGAGAAGGCCTCAGCCATAAGAAGGGCAGACCTGGCCGCCATTCCACGGGTTTGCCTTCAGGGCCCCCTTCTTCCTGGGGAGAGGCCTTCTCCGCTGTCCTTTAATGAAGCCTCCTCTGTCCACTCTCCTCTCGCCTCGGCCTGCTTCTCTGGTGTTGTCCTTCAGCTTTGGGGAAGCAAGGACCCGCCACCGGTCAACAGCGGTCACAGATGGAGCCCAGGGCACCGCCGTTGCCCAGCAGGCCTGTACCCTGGGTCCCTCCCCAGCACTGCCCAGGCAGACCAATGAA